CCCTCCCCTTCCCTCCCTTCCCCCCCGCCCCGTGCTGGGCCCCGCGCGCAGTTTGACAGCTTTGCTCCGCGTCCCTGCTCGCCTCCTCCCACCAACTCCAGCGTCCAGCCGCTGGCTTTTGCTTCTCTGGCCTGGCTTCTTTTGGCTCCCGAGGGCGTGGAGATTCGGCCAGAGCCTGCCACTCCCGGCTTAGGGAGGCTGGGCTCGGGCCACCACGTGCGACCGGGTACCAAGATGAGCCCCGGGAAGAGCGCACGCTGCCCGTGCACCCTGCGCCTGGCAAAGCCTGGCAAACGCCCTCCTTCTCCCGCTCTTTGTCCAGAGCCCTCGCTCGCTCGCAAAGTTTTCCTGACACAAAGACCAACACCTGGGGACAGCCTCCAGCACGCGGGGAGGAGGCGGTTTCAGCCAGGCAGATGTTTCAGCAGTTGACGAATTAGAAGGGGGGTGGGGGAAGGGGAGGGGAGGAGAAAAATCCGAGACAGGCCAACTTCCGCGAAGGCACTGGGTGCAGTTTGTGAGTGAGGTGCTCAGCGGGAAGAAATCTTGAGGCGGTCCCTCTGAAGATCTATATATGGTCTCCATTTATAGACCGGATACTGGTCTCAGGGGAGCTCCCTGAATTGCCCCAGGTCACGCGGTCGTGTCTGGAACCCTTGCCACCCGCTGGAGTGACTGAGCTGCCTGCAATGGAGATGCAGCTCCGGCTCTGCCTTGCCCTGGCTGTGCTGACTCCCGGCTGGGCTTCCCCTTCCCAGCTCCTGCCCCATCCTGCCAAAATCAGTAACAGGACCACCCCCCACCACCTCCTCTGTTATCTCATTTTGATCAAAAAACCTTCTAGAAAAATATGGCTCCCATAGGGGTAATGCCCCCCAACCCCCTTGTTGAATGCATTCTGCTTCCCCAGCCTGAGAGTTTCATTCACATTGTATTTGTATCAGTCATTAACTTGGGGTGGGGAAGGGCCCCCGTTAAGTTTTACTGGAATTAGATAATGACCTCTTGCCCCCCTTGCACTAATTGTAAGGATTCCTGAAATCAGGAAATGTAACTTTCCAGAAATGATCATCTGATGTCTGAAAGGGTCCTTGGAGTTTGCCTGTGGGGAGAAGAGTCCCATTGTGGAAGCTGGGGGAAACGTCCTAACTGCCTTGAGAGCGCAGACCAGCCAAAAGGAGGGAAACCGAGTGTGCCCCCTGGGGCCACTCATGGAGGGGGTAGGGGTGTGGTGCTGGCAGTAGCCAGGTCTCTTCTGGGCCACATGGGGAGGTAAGAGGGCTTGTTTGATTTCTCCCCTCAAAGCTCTGTCTGAGTCCTTCTGCTTCTTTGTGGGTAAGAGAGAGGGGCTGGAGGATTGGACTTTGATGGGCCCGAAAGCCATGGGATAAACATCACCCAGCACCCAGTGTGGAGAGCAGGGTGTGGTCACGTTCTCCACCACTTCCTCTGAGCACCAGAGCAGGTATCTTTTTCAGCGCAGGGAAATTTCCAACCACAGAGCTCCGGTTCCTTCCCAGTCCCTTACGGAGTCTGTGCACCTCTGTAAGGCGCTCCTTTGACAGTGAGCATCTCTAGAATACCACGCTCATGTTTTCTTGGGGAAAGACTTTCTGATACTGAGCACAGCGTTGGATGTCTCTCCCTGTCCATTCAAGGCATCAAAAAAGGTTCGTATTGGCTCTGTGGTGGTAATGTCTTGCCCCAGAGAAGTTGGGGTAGGAGGGCAGCAGGTGGCATAGTGGTTTAGGCACTGGACTCCCACATGGTCGATCATGGTTTGAGTCCTGGACCTGGCGGCTTGAAAGTCATGCCAGGCACATATGTGTGCCAAAAATCCCAGGAGGAGAATGGAGAAGGGATTGTGGCATGGCCATCTACCTGGGGGGTGATTTCCCACTTTCCCTCTCACTGTCTCTCTGCATCTCTCCAGGGCATGCACACATCCTATAGCAAAAACCTCAACTGAAAAATAAAAAGAGAAGCTGAATCCCACGTGATGACCATGGTTTGAATTCCTGGCATGGCCATCCTGAAGCATGCTGGGCTCCCACACTAGTGCCCAAGATCAGAGGGGCCAGAGGGCCGCGGGAAGGAGGTCTGAAGGAGAGGGATCGTCATGTGATTGTTCCCTATGGAGGCTATTTCCCTTCCTCCCCCCCTGCTCTCCCCTCTCCTTCCTGCCTCTTCTCTCCTCCTTATTCTCTTGTGCACACACTATCTTGAATTTAAAAAACAAACAAAAACAAAAGAGAGAGTTCCCCATCAGAATATCCACCCATGTGGCCCACCTATCCTGTCTCCAAGTTTTCTAAGTGCCTAAATCTATCCCTCTGTCTGGTGTGGTGGGTGGTGTGAGAGGTGTGGCACGGGGTTTAAGAGGTGTGGCATTGTCATTATTTTTTTCCTGAAATGAGGCTGGGACATTTAAATAGGGAAAGGCATAAAAGCAGGGTGTGCCTGGGAAGCTGCTCAGTATTTGAGTCGCTCCTCCGTTCACCCTGTCACTCAGCAATATTTATTGAGTGTTCCTAGTGCCAGGCCCTGCACCAGGGCTAGAGACACCAAGAGGAGCGAGCTCCCTCTAGTTTCCCGCCCTCTAGTGGCTCACTGTTCAGGAGCGAGAGACACACAAATGCCTAATTATGATCTGCTATTCCTGATGAGCTTATAATCCATTAATAAGGTTGCCTGAAAGACCAAGAAGGAACTGGCTGGCATCTCTCCTCTGCTTTCAGCTACTCTCTCTCTTGTTAAAAAGTGCATTTATGAGTCAGCGGGTCAAGCGGTGGTTAAGCCACTGGATCTTGTATGGACGACGCCGTGCTTCAAATCCTGAACCTAGCAGCTTGTGTGGGTGTGTGCGCATGCCCAAAATCCCAAGAGAAGAATGGAGGAGAAGGGATTGCAGTGCGGCCATATCCCTTGGAAGGTGATTTCTCACGTTCCACCCTCCCTGGAGAGTACATGCACCCTATAGTAACAACCTAAATGAATAAATAAATAAATGCATTTATTTCCTTTTTTTTTTTTTTAATCAGCCAGAGAGAGAGAGACTGGCACCCTTCACAGGGTCTCCATGCTATGATCCACCCCCAGCTTCAGCCAGCCCTGGGTCCTGGGAATGCATGCATACCCAGCATGTCCAGGGAGATCTCTGAACCTGAACCTGAAAGGTCACAGGTCGGCCTCACAGGACGTATGCTACCGTGGCATCACCGCTCCTGCTTTCGTTACTCTATGAACTACACTTCAGTATGCAGAACATTATGGAGGTGTGGTATGACCCTGAGCCCACCAGGCCAGGTGACCCTTGTTGCTCTAAGAGCTATTACAGCACAGTCTACTTCTATCTCTTTTTAGGTGACCCATGTTTTCACCCCACAACACTTCTTCCTTTGCATCCACCAGAAAAAAAATCATTATGCGTGCTCAGGGAAGAGTGGGCTCTTTCATTAAACAGCCACATTCTGTATAGAGAAGTCCTCATAAGCGTATCCACAGAGCAGTGCCCCTGAAGTACATCTTGGTAATGCAGAACTTTGTAACGTAGAGGCACCCCTTGCACAGGGAGTCACTGGGATGGGATTTCACTTGGAGGGTGATGGGGAACCCCGTGATGGTTGACCATGGAGTACTGACTGTGAGCACTTCACCTGCATCTTTTGGGTCTGCAGCTCTCACAGGGCTCTGGGGCACACCCATCACCCTTTGCTCTTTCTGAAAAAATGAGTTCGTTCCTGGGGTCTGGAAAGAGGAAGAACGGTCAGATGGGTAGCGAATGTCAGGGCACTCACGTCACATGCTTAGTTTGGCTCCCTGACCCCTCTTCTCCTTCTGATCCCTCTGTTTAGGCAAGTCCCTGTTCCTGCCTTGGATGTTCCAGGAAACTGGGAAACAGTAATCACTTCTTCAGGCTAAGTCCTTGAATAGTTGGGTTGAAACGCAAGAGCTGTAATTAAAAGTCACTTCGGGGGACCAGCAGGTGGCGTGGTGATTAAGGCACTGGACACTCCCACATGGCCGACCAGGGTTCAAGTCCTGAATCTGGTGGCTTGCTTTCTCACTTCCTCTCTCTCTCACTCTCAACCTCTGTCTCTCTCTGGTCAAATTAAAAAATAAATGAATAAATAAATAAAAATTTAAAAAGTCACTTCGTCCATTAACACCGTAACTCAAATATATGGAGTATGATGACTATTCAGGCAACTAATAAGACCTTGTGACTTTTTTTTAACAAGAGATAATTTTATTTTTTTTAAAGTTAAGTTTATATTTTCCATGAGCATGCACATATGAGAGAGAGAGAGAGAGAGCAGTCATCCCCAGTAGAGTCTTGACTCTGTGATCCACCCTAGCGTCAGCCAGTCCCGGATCGTGGACGCCCAAGTGCCTGATTTACTCCAAAGAGGTCTCTAGATGCGAACCTGGAACTTTCCCATGTGTCAGCTTTCCAGAGTAGGCTTTGTATCTTTTTAGAATACTTTATCTAATTTTATTTATTATTATTATTATTTAATTTGCTAGAGGGCACATGTGCTCACCAGAGAGAGAGACAGTGGGAAAGAGAGAGAGAGAGAGGGAAAATGAGAAAGCAAGCCACCAGGTCTGGTACTCGAACTGTGGCCAGTCGTGTGGGAGTCCAGGGCCTTAACCAGCACACCACCTACCTGCCAGTCCCCACAGAGTGGTTTTTTGTTTGTTTGTTGTTTGTTTGCTTGTTTTATCACTGTACCAGTACCTGGCCCCCAGAGAGGGAATTTTTATTTCTCTGGCTACCCTGGGCCTTAGCATTATCTGGAATCTTGGGATTGTACATCAGGGAGTTGTGAATTTACCGCCTTTGATTCTCCCTGCATCCGCTTAGTTCTCGTAGTTGAGGGTTCAAGGAACAAACCTGTCTTCACTCACTGCATATCCTTCATCATGTGTGAGACAGCAGAGTCATCAG